TTTTTTTGAAGACGGTTAAAAAAAAAAGAAGAAATAAATAAAATACGTTAAGAATTAATTGAAATATAAAAAAGATGTTTTTCATTTTAAAACAACAAAATCTGAAAAATTAAGCAAAATTAAATTATAAAAGAAACAAAATTGATTTATCGGATCCCTCGAATGGCTTTCTCCCTCGGCTATGGCGACACTTGTCGTAGCGCGAGCCAAATGATATACATATGTATGTATGTATACATCTCCATTTAAAACTTCTCTCTCAAAAGAACCTTTCACCATGAAAGTGGGCAAGGGGGCTTTTTTTGTAAGACTTTCGTGCCAGAATAAAGAAAATCTTTCAAGTTACATATCTTGCCTCCTGTCTTTCAATTGTCTTACAAAAGACTTGCAACTATTTTAGCCAGAATTGCCCGATTAATTTGCCGATTTAAACCCGCTCAGCTAAAACCTTAACCTTTGGTTGCTTATAAGTTGAGACCATTATCTAAATTTTTTTAACACTTTGGCCTCGTACATCCTTATATATTTAAGTACATTCTTACTTTTGTTTTTTGAGGTTTTGGTTAAATTAAAACTGAATTTTCTGAATAATATAAACATTTCTTTAAACCAATTACATAAAGCTCCAATAAAGTCTACACGTGTCGGTGGTAAATGTGTAATTATTGGCATGGGTGCTGACGAAGTCAAATTACTCTTAATGGTGGCTATCTCGAAGGAAGTTGACCTAAAGGTCTTTCGTTATTGCAATGAGTAATAAATAAAACGTTATCAGAAATATTTTCTTGGACTTAAAATATATCAATTTAAACTTGTATCTATAGCTATCCATATGCCTTGCAATTGGTACCAGCAGGTGGCACGGGAATAAAAAAGTTAGTCACACACCATTTTGATATCGAAAAATCTAAAGAAGCCTTCGAGACGGCCAAAACCGGCAAAGGTGACCCTGTGAAAGTGATGATACACGTACAAAAACGTGATAAAAACAATAAAAACCCGTTCTCTAAATAAGCAGTAAATTTTGTAATAAAATTTTGAGGGTATATTTGCATACGCGATTTTTTATGTTTTAAAGAAACAAATATTTAATACCAAAAAATTGTAAAACCATGAATGCTTCATATACATATCTTATACATATTTACATATACATATGTATTTATATCAATTAAAGATGCGATATAACTTATTTAAAATATGGTAAATTGTTATATATTTATGGCTGCCTTTTTTAGCTAAATATTCATAAATACATATAAAGTAGAAAAATAAACTGAACTATAGAAATGTGCGTACGAGTTATAAAAATTCCTCAAATGCTACAATCATGCGTACATTCATGCCTGTATGCATTTTTTATATGCTAATAATATGAAAAGACAAAAAAATGCTTCAAACAACTGTTATTGCTAGAGTTTTAAAATAGTTGTTCAAATTGTTATAAAAATTCGTTTTGTTTCATTTAATTTTTAGTGAAATTAACAACTAGTTACATATATTTGTAATTTAAGCTAATAATTGTTGCGCTAATAATTGCAAATTTTCTAGGCACTCGTCTTTATTTTAATCTTCCTTTATTGATTTCATCGTATTTTTAACTTTATGAGAAATAAAATATATATTTAAGAAGCATTGCGGACGGATGCCAATTGCATTTTCCATTAAATTAACTTAAAGGAAGCATAGTTTATGACCAAACGATTTGGCACGAATTTAAGCAAGTCAGTGAAAATATTTTTATTTTATTTTTTTAGATTTGTGCGATATTTAGACTGCAACAAAGCATAGTAGCTGTCGAACAAAAACATTTGTATATATGTATTTATGTATTTATGTATATGCATGTGATGTCTTTCCGACGCTGTCTTTCTAGACGCCAATTGACTTAAATTTTCCTTGGTTTAATGAAGTGGCGGAGCAGTTGCATTATTAAATTGGAAAGTTGGATAGCGTGGCGCAAAGCTAGCATCACCCACAACTGTTGTATGTTCTGAATCCTCGTTGCCTGTTATTTTTGGCGCTCGAAACTGTGTCTCCACAAATTGCGGTGGAGCTGTTAATTAAATAAAAAAAACATTTAACTTTTTTAATTTATAAAACAAACTGAGTTGCTGAAACTTACGTATATTCGGATATAGTTGCCCACCAGCACTATCTGCTACATTCCAACCCAACGCCCCACCTGCACCATCACTTGGGGGACTTGCTGGACTAACCGGTTGCGTAGGTGCCAGTGATGGATCTTGATCTTGCTGCTGTGGTGGTATTTGTGCTGGCACATCCGTATATGGTGCTGGTGGCTTGAACGATGCTAATGGAATTGTACCCAAAATGATGGGTATATTACCAGATAAATTACGATGTGGACCGCTTACTTCACATTCAATCTGAAAGTAATTGTAATACAAAGTGTATTTTTTTACAAAATCTGTTAGGAAAATTTCCTTTAAGAGCATTTGTACATAAATATAGTCGTTTAAAGTACAAAACCGCGTATCGTGGTTCTGCAAAACCTCGTAACTGATATCCGGCATCAAGCGCTTATACATTCAGAAGAGATAATTGAAGATAAAAGAGAGAACCGTTTTGAAATAAGACAAGTTTTTTTCTCTACTGTAAAATTTTGGCAACCTCAAAAGTATTGCATTTTCTTAATACACGGTTTTGTACTTTAAACAACGATATACATATGTGTATATAGACATAAAGCTATATAGCTATACATTTTTAAATATTTTTTTTAATAATTACGGTTAGCATGATATTCATGCACATTATACTAAACGACTCAGCCAACTTACATGCAAATCATAATCCAACGAAATAATACCGCAATTGAGCAAATTTGTTGGTGGCAGTGCTGGTATTTCCAATTGCTGTGTAAAAGTGCGCGTCTCACCACCCGCAACAGGGCCAATACCCAATTCGGCAATAGTAATTTTGCTTTGTTTTTTATCGGCACGCGGCTGATTAACTTGGAACGTGACACGTTTGCGTAAAATAAACTTTACCGATGTTATGCCAACATTACTAGCATTGTCGCATTCACAAGTAATTGGTATTGTTTGGCCAGAAACGTACCCAGTCACCGGTACGGTAGTAACAACTGACAATGGACCTGAGCGACAACAAAAGCAGCAAAAGCTTTTTTCCAATTCGAGCTTATAGGGTTCCTAAAAAAAAATAAAATCAATATGCAGAAATTATATTTGCTGATTTTTTTAATATCAGATTCCCATACCTTTACACGTGGATTTACATTGAGATCGACCGGTGAAATAACCGTGAATGCCATTTTCATATCCTGATCGAATTTCCACGGGCGATCCAAGGTTACTTTGATAGTATAACGCACATGACCGAATTCACCCTCGAATGAGGAGGGTAGTGTGGGCGGCAATGCACATGTGAATGGATAAGTGTGTGTGCCGGCTGGAAGCTCAGTCTCAGAACCTGTAGAATAAAAAAGGTTAGAAATTATCAATGCGTTTGTTGCACAATCCAATGTTAATGTTTATGTATTTTTTGTTGCCTACTTTTAGGGTCAAATAGTGCAGCAAAATTTCTTGTTTGCAATGCATAT